GCCTCCGGTTACGGAAGCGGGCATGCGTAGCGCCACGCAGGAGGAGAGGGCGTACGCACTGTCGGAGCTCGAAGTGGTCGTGGAGTTCCACAAGAAGCACCTCTGTTCGGCAAAAGGAGATGTGGGTGTGGGTGCGTTAGCACCGGATAGGGCATTCGCTCCTGCACAGTTGAGGGAAAGCAGGTTATTCCTTCCGATGAACGGGAAGCCGGTGTACAACTCGGTGTTGCAGGATGGAAGGGTAGACTACATCGGCGAGCGACAGATCCTCGAAGACAGGATGCGGGGGGACGTGCCCAACGAGATCAAGTTCTGCCGCGCGGTAGTGCCGGCCAAGACCACGATGATGGAGTACATCCCCGGCTACGACCCGAATGTCGCACCTAGTCCGGCTGCCAAGCAAGCAGCAAAGCTTCTGATGAAGAGCATGGCGGTTGACTTCGATGGGGTGACCCTCAACTCACAGAAAGTGTCGGAGGTATTCGACCCAGTGAAGTTGAAGACGGATGGAAGGTGGTTAGGAAACTGGCTGTCCGCCGATCAGGCCATCTGGTTCCTCAAGGAGGTCGGAGGCATCGAGAATGCGATAAGGACGTGGAATTACTTCATTCCGATCATCAAAGCATTCCCGGTAGGGCAGGTGGATGTTCTGCTGATGGTGATGGTGATGTACACCGAGGCGGATGAGATGGTGAAGGAGCACACCAGGCTGGTTGCCGTTAGGCAAACTAGGATCGGGAGAGACCTGAATTACCAGGATGCCCGTAAGATGTATGTGGATCAGAATGCGATTGGCGGACCCCTGGTATGGGAGCTGGCTTGGCAGGAGGTCCCTCCCGTTGGGTACATCATGATGAAGTTCCCGGACTTCAGGAAAGCCGTTCAGATCCAGCGGATCAAGAGGAACGGGAGGGCCATGATCGAGTTATTGATCGTCAGGCCGGACGAGTATCACAACATCGGGGACGGCCGGGAGGACGAAGGCCTTGTGCAGATTACTGCCCCGATAAGACCTGATGCGAATGTTTCGCCATCCTGGTACATCAAGGACCGGATGAGGAACTATGCAGGAAGGTACGTAGTGGTGATGGTCGACCTTAGGGTGTACTGGTCGAAGGTGGCAGCCGTGTATCTGACCAGGAGGAAGACTCTTGCCGTTAGGGAAGAAATCCAGGTCGGGGCATGGAAGGCTGCGTACTTTCACGATGAGTACACGATGTTGTACCACCGCACTTGGGACTACGCTGACTTTGCCCCCGGTAGGGGAGTGCATCAGCGTTCCAACAGGGACCGAATTGACCTTTGCGTTAGCACCACGCTCTGCCTCAGGTGTGCAGAGATTGTTCCGTGCGGGATGCACTTGTGCACAGGGTGTGCCCTGCCCATCTTCTACCCGGGATTTGTCCCGACTCCGGAAGGAGCCGGCATCCGGGATAGCCCGTTGGTGCCGGACTGGGTGAAGGAGATGGGGCAGTTCGCTCCGAGGTCAATGGCGAATGATGAGGTGGGGGTCATCAAGAGGACGATGATCTCATTCTCCATGAGCTCAGACCTGCGGTTGACCGTTCAGAGCGGAATCAGGTTGCCCAGCTACATCAACCCGGAGGAAGGAGGTGTTCGGGGTGCTTGGGACAAGATGCAGGAGGTACTCTTTAGGAGCCACTTCATCGTCGGAGTCAGGGAGTCAGACCTCTTCGTGGAGAAGGCCGTGGCGAAGTCTTCTTTCGTGCTCACCCTCTGAACGCGGCCAAGTGGGGGCGACGGATGACGACTTCCGTTAGGAAGCCGCAGAAGCACGGCGTGTACCTGTCGTTCTACATCCCCATGGCATATGTGATCGGTGCCGCGGCAGGACACCTGACACCACTCTATCCTACACATCGGAAGGATGAGGATGTGCTTGGGAGTCACAGGCTCATGGCGAACCTGCGCAACTTCATGGCGAACGTGTGCAGATTCGACGAGAAGCAGAGGCTGGCTGAGGCTGTGAGGAGAATGAAGATCGCCAAGGAGAAGGGCGAGATGAAGCCGCTGGCCGATAGGCATGACTCCCACGTCTACGAAGGTGAAGAGAAGGTGAAGGCGGTGATCGGCGCCCAGAGGCCGGAGCCAGTTGAGATTGACATGGAGACGTTGCAGTCGTTTCATGCCACCGCTCTGGAACGAGACCCCGAATCCCGGCGTAGCAAGGATGCCGAGGTGAAGGACCAGAAGGGGAAGGGCAAGAAAGGTGAGAAAGGAGGAAAGGGCAGTAGCCCTGCTGCCCAGGCACCGAAGAAAGGTAGCGGATCGGGAAAAGGGAGCGGATCGGGCGGTAGCCCTGAGGCTCCCAAATCCAAGGCCAGGGATGCTGCTGATTCTGGACCTGCGCCAATGGATGTCGATCCTCCCAAAGCTCCGGGAGAAAAGTCGTGGTTGGACACGGCGAAGGCCGCGGATGAGAAGTTGGCGAAGGCCAAGGCAGCGGTCGCTGCTAAATCGGCCTCGGCATCGGCCGGGAAGGCTGAGCCCAAGCCTGAGCCCAAGTCTGAGCCCAAGTCTGAGCTCAAGTCCGAGCCCAAGTCTGAGCCCAAGTCTGAGCCCAAGTCTGAGCCCAAGATTGAAGTGAAGAAGGAAGCGGACGATTCCAAGCCCGATTCCGGCGGTAGCCGAGGGGAGGGGCGCACCAGACCGAGGGTCAGCAAGTGGGATACCCCGACGGAGGAGCCTGGCAGGGATTCGTCAAAGCGAGAAGCATCCAAGCAGTTGGATGAAGTCGCAGAACGACCTGCTGCTGCGGCGAGAGGAGCCAGCGGGGATGACCTCCACTCGGCACTGGAAAGATCTTCGGGGGCGCCAAGTGAAAGGACAACGGCATCGAAGGCGATGGCGAGGAGGCCTGATGAAGGTGAGATCAGGCTGAGGTCCGCGACCAGGGATGCTGGACGCTCAATGCCGGGCTACTTTGCCGTGCTGCCGGGGCGTGAGGCCATTGAGGTCTTGCTGAGTGCGTCATCTGACGAGGGGCTGTCCCATATGGTCAGGGCTCACTTAAGGAGCGGCGAGGATGATGCGGCATTGGACGTCCTGAATCGGGTGATGGCGAATACGATCTCTGCACGCGATAGGCGCAGCGCTGGAGGCTCACATGCGGCATCACTGAGATCGGATCGGAGCTATGATTCGAGGGACTCCCGCAGGGCACGAAGGTATGAGCATCGCTACCGGAGGAGGGACGACAGGAGAGATCGTCGTGACACTCCATCGAGCGAAGGAAGCAGGGAACGGCGGAGAGACGATCGCAGGAGATCGGAACGTGATGATGATCGTGATCGTGACCGAGATCGGGCGCGGGGCGAGCGTGACCGGAGGAGGCGTGATGATCGCCGGTAGGCGTAGTCACGAGGGTGAAGACCGGTAGGTCTGATCTCGTCCTCCGAAGGTCAGTGCTGGGCGGTGATGGTGATTTCCCTCCCGCACCGCTGAGGCGTGTCGATCATGCTCCTGCTTAACCGCTGCTGTGCAGCTGGTGATGGACACTCTGAAGTTTTTCGAGTGAGTGAGGGAAAATGGACATTCGGAGGGTACTGCATGGTCCGTAAAGTATAAGTGTTTTGAGATACGCACGGTCGCATGTACGTCCCGCCGGTAGGCGTGAGTACATTTGGAACATATTGGTACCTTGGTACATGGCTTCTGATACGAATGAATACTCGCATCTCTGATGCAAACTGTGGTGACCTAGTGTCGTCATGTGGGCTTTTCCACTGGGTGTGTTGGACAGTGTTACCCCGATTAATTCGGGGTGGTGGCGGGATTTTAATGCCCGGGATGTCGCGCAGCTGCCTATGTGGGTTTGCTCCACCGCTGACGGCGGTAGTGTCCTGCTGTTTGCGGACGAAATGTGAGCATTATTCCTATCAGTAAACGGCACGCTCCCTCCGTCTGAGACGGACTCCTCGTGAGGGGGGTGTGATTTGCCATGTGTTGTTCCTGTCATACTGGAGTCTCGCGGTAGCGATGAGCCAGTCAGTTCTTCAAGCACTCGTCTGTATGACTGGTGTTTGGCTCAAGTTCACGAGTTCCGTCACGCCTCGGATGGGCGTCGCCGAACTCCTGCGTCGACCGACGTTGTCTCGGGGGAGAAAGAGACCTCGGGCCGCCGTCAGGTTGGTAGGAACCCTTCGTGCGGCCTGTCGTCGATCAAGGTTGTGGGTAACTCTTTTCTGTGTGTTTTGGTTTACTTGTGGTTGTTTGGTTGCTTGTACGTTGGAACCCCTGATCTTTGGGACTAGGGATTGGTTATTGTTTGGGTCCTTTCTTTGTGGCTTGTTTTCCCAACTTAACCCTTTGCCTGGGCACAGGCTCGTGCCCGAATCACATATATATATATATATATATGTGTGTGTGCATATAGAATACAACATGTTGTATATTATATGTGATGTATAACATAGATAACTTAAATAATACCCAAATCTGGTTAAAGGAACCCTAGCACTTGATAAGCACGCTTTATCCCTGGTGAGCTTGCGTTGAATCACGCAAAATTAATGGAAGCTGTGCCGTCAAGTGGGCGGCATGCAACGGATGCCAACTGTTGCACAAATCACCGGCCAGAATAAGCAAGGCATTGTTTCTGATATCATGTAGAATGTGTTCTGTATTCCGGCAAACAAAGAAGCAGGGACTTAGACTGAGCACGGACTACGGCAGGTTTTGACAAAATCTTGAGACGATTATCTCAGTGGAAGCAGACACCTGCCTTCAACCCCAACTTCCCGAGTCCCCGCTTCTTTGCTTCCCCAAATTAAAAACCACTGTGTAGAAGATTGATTTGTTGAGAAGGGTCATTGAATCAAGTGATGTTGCACAGGACATACAATATAATTAGTCGTGGGTTCCAGGAGCAAACGCTGTCAGGATGCAGCAAGGTGAAGAGGTCAGACTTACCCGTTGGCCGAAGAACCAGTCAGCTATGCTTTATTGGGTTTATCCGCCAGGGCCTTTCCCAACTCCAGGGCATCTCCGGATCCTCTGGGATGCGGGGCCTCCAGAACATGCTGGGAGCCCTGCGGTGAGCGGAGATTGCGTGGAGATACGCAGTCGGCATGAAAAGGGCGCGGCGGCTCCCGGTTTCTCTGGAGGGAGGCCGCTCTCAGTTGCTCATTACGCCCTTTTCTTGAAAAGGTGCCTAACAACCCCTGTCCGAGTTTGCTCATCAACCCTTCCGGGACTGTCACTCGATGTCAACTTATTTGAAAACCCCCAACCAAAATAGTCAAAAACAGGGGGTCCTAGGCACCAGAGAGCGACGTCCTGAGTGGCGCATTTTTGGACCCGCCACTTATAGGGGATATTGAAACTGAAAACCAAATATAGCATCGAGAAACCAAAAAAAACAAACAAAACAAAACATTCCTGTTGCAATTGTGGCATATGTGTTGGCACTCGCACGCTTGTTTTCCTTGACGCTGTATATTGCCCGAGCTACAGGGTGGGATCTTTCACCGGTGATACCAAGGACTTTCAGGTCCGAGCCATGAAAAGCTGCTGAGCGCTTGGGAGTGGTAACTCTAGGTCCAGGCTCCTGCTACGGGATTACTATCGCATTGGTAGCGCTGCCGGTGGAGTTCAATCTCTCGGCGCCTCATGCAGGCGCGCGGCCTCTTCTTCGACTCAGATCTACCCCTTCGAGGTGACGATCCTGCAGTTCGTGAAGGTTGGCGCGCAGCCCCAGGTGATGATGGCGCGGTGGCCCATGAAGGCCTCAACGCCCAAGAGGAGGAGGACCCCACAGACGATGAGACTGTGGAGGTCGATGATGCGCTTCCACCACAGCAGCCACAGTCACCACCACTACCACCACCGCAGGGCCACCTGCACAGCTCCCTTCTTCTACAAGGAGTCGTGGTCGGCGAGGACGTGGAGGTCGAGGCTCAGGTGGCGGGTCAGGCGGCGGCTCAGGTGGCGGCAGCAGCGGTCCTGGTGGAGGAGGTTCACAGGCAGGTTCAGATGGCGCAGCATCAGGCGGCGCCTTGACGAGGTGGAGATCCGGACAGATGCCGGGCCCTCCATCCTTCGATGGCGACATAGATGCCAATCCCTTTGGGCTGAGGCATTACCGCAAACGGCTTCTACGGTGGGTTCGCATAACCAAGGAGTGCCTTCCCCCGAATGAGCAGGCTTTGCGTGCCAGAGAGCAATCAGGACAAAGTGCAATCAGCCGCCACGGTGAAGAAGGACACAGCCTTCTACGAGCAGATCAGCAATCTTGTTCCTTGGCAACTCCACATGGTGCAAATCGCCCGGAACCCGAAGGTGAGGAGACTTCCTCCCAATCTACTTGCAAGCGAACCTGTTCAGCATCGAGCAGCAGCACTGTTGTACAACACTGGCGAGATCGGTTTGGAGTCGGAGGAGGTAACTGGTGTTATGGATACACCTGGAGCTCGCTTCGAGACACCTGTGGCCTACGCCATCTTCATCTACGGCGCGGCCCCATCAACGAGCTACAACCCGGAGGAGGACAAGAAGCCTGAGGCCACTTTGGCTAAGCAGCTCCCATCTCCTGAGGAGAAGCTGCAACCACATCAACCAGGCTACAAGGACATCACCTTCCCGGAGGTCAGTGATGCAGCGGTTCCGCAATGGATCCGCTCGGTGTTGAAGCGGCTGCACGTCAACCTGGGACATCCAGGCAATGAAGCTTTGGTACGACATCTTGCTCAAGCTGGTGCATCAGGCCCAGCCCTACATGGAGCTCGACATCTTCGATGTGGAGTTTGTCTTCGCACCCGACCTCCAGCACAACCACGACCAACCAAGGTGTACCAGGCCAGGCGATTCAACGACCGGCTGATGCTGGATATCGTGTACACCAAGGACATTGCGGGCAACACCTACTGCTTCCTCAGCCAGGTCGACGACGGCACTACCTACCACGTGATGAGCTACCTGGAGAACCGGTCGGAGCAGGAGGTGACCCATTGTTTGGTGTCAGGGTGGTTTCGCTTTTTCGGCTACCCAGATGAGATGTTGCTGGATGCCGAGGGTGCCATGAAAGGATGGAACTTCGAGCAGATGGCTGCGCAGGCGGGAGTCCGAGTACGCTTCGTTTCATCAGACGCCCATTATCAACTTGGCAAGCGGAACGCCACGGACAAGCTGTCAAATGGATCATGCGGCGTTTGGTCAGTCAGTATGCGGCCACCACTGTGGAGGAGATGGAGCAGATCGCCAATCTGGCGACCTTTGCAAAGAACACATTGGCTCGCAAGTCGGGCGCATCGCCATGCCAGTGGGTCTTCGGCAGGGCACCTCGAGTTCTAGGAGCTCTACTCTCAGAGCCGGAGGCCATCGAGGCCAAGCAGGTCATTGAGGCCATGCGACATTCAGCCATGCAGGAGTTTTTGAAGTTTGAGTTCAACGAGTCCCTGAGGCGAGCCATGTGGAGAAGGAGCAGACCATGGAGAGGTCCATTCGAACTTGGACAACGCGTCGCCTACGTCCGCACCAGGAACTCTGCGGATGGCGAGGGCTCGGTTGAAGGATATCGCCAAGGTCTTGTGATCGGCATCGACCCAGGACCAACCGGATCACTTTGGATCCGCAACAACCGCGGCAGGATTGTGCAGGTTTCCCGTGAACAAGTACGCGGCATCGAAGGCGAGGAGCTTTGGACACCCAATTTGGATGAGATCCGCATGCTCCGGAGCAGCGAGGAGGATCTCAGCAGGAAGCATGCCAACGCCTTCGATCAACGTGGAGATGGACCAGCAGCTCTACAAGATCGTGTGGCACTTGACGCTGCTGGACAGCCGGTACTACCACCGCTTTCACAACAGCCAGAACTTCCAGCTTCTGAGGAATCAGGGCCACCAGCACTGCAAGCGCTTGAGAACCTTCCAGCACTGCCAGCGCAACAGGAACCATCAGCACTGCCAGTGCCTCAGAGTGAGTCGGGTTGATGCTCCCTTGGAACAACCACCACAACCACCTGATGTGCAACAACAACCACTTGCTGTGCAACCACAACCAGCGAGCGATGAACGTCCAGCGGGTTGGTTTCTTGATCCAGATGGCAGGCCAACACTTGCAGTGGAGAACGCGTCCGACTTCAGGACACCAGCTGGCCAGTACCACCCCGAGAAGTACAAGTACGCACCAGCTGGGCACGCTTTGGTGGCACTTGGTTCAAGTTGGAGGACCAGGTACCCTGGACAGAACTGTCCAACCCATGTGATCTCGTTCCAGAACGGCCAGTGGACAAGTTGGTCATGACCTTCAGCCCCGAGATCGGCAAAGGCAGGCGACCATCCATCGAGACCTACCGCGGCACGAGCACCAAGCGCACCGCGGATGAAGTTGGCCTCCCTGAGCGAGAAGACCGACCAGGCGATCCAAATCGACCTGGTTCATCAGCTGAACCCCCACAACCAGTTGCAGCAGACGCCCAACTTTCAGAACTACCACCTGTACCAGATTCTGATATGGACGTCGCCGACAGCCTCACGACCTACTGCATCAATTGTGGATCGCACAACAGCGAGATTGTGGACAACCGTCAACAGTGTGTTCGTTGCTTGGCACTGGACTTTGTCGAGGACCCCAAGTACGTGCAGAACTGGTTTGATGAAGCAGCAGAACAACATGCTCTCCAACAAGCCGGCGAGGTCTACGACAAGCGCTACAAGCAATGGGCTAGTCCAACTATGCAGTCAGATCACGGAGTCCATGATGCTGCCGGACAACAACGACTTGGACGACCTTCACGACCAAGAGGCCTATGTCCTTGAAGTCGGCCAGGTGCACCAGGACTACCCCATCAACTACCAGTACCACAAGCAGGTCTTCAGCGTGGCGACCAAGGATGCAGAGGGCAACTGGCAGTGGGAAAAGATCTTCGACGGCATCAACGTGTCCCCGGACACCGCGGACATGCTCTTCGGCAACAACAACGACAACTACACCGACGACATTGAGGACAACAAGGTCGACTCCAAGAAGGTGATCATCGAACATCAGCTCAAGCGGCAACCTCAGCATGTACGTCATCATCTTCTACGGCAACCTGGAGATCGACGAGTTCGGCACTGGCTACATCGACATGGTCGTCATTGTGTTCACCTCACAGGTTCGGATGGTAACCCACCAGAGCTGCCGACCTACTTCCAGCACAACAACTTCGCCCAGGCGTACCACACCATGGTGAACAACTTGGCAATCACTGACGGCACCCACGAGGACAACATCGTGATGGACGACGTCTTCTACCACAAGCAGTGCGGCAAGCCAAGTTGGTGCGAAGTTAAGCCGAGTACTTCCCCCACGGTGGCATCCGTCTTCAATGTCAGTAGCATCGAGAATCAGGAGGTCATCACCGGCCCCGAGTCTTCTGACGACGAGGATGGCGGTGAAGGTGAAACAAGCAGCAGGGCAGCCAAACAGGCCCTGAAGCGAGAGACCCCCTGGAGAGCCATTCCAGAGAAAGACATCAAGGGCTTTGTGCAGGCCGTGGTCGGAATGGAAGAAGTGGTCAAGTTGCAGGCCAGTGTGGGCCAAGGTCAATGAGATCGACGCCTCCCTCATCCTGAATTCCCGGGTTTGTTTTCGCTACAAACCCAAGGACGGCGGCAAATGGTTCAAACCAAAAGCCCGAGTTGTGGTGCAGGGCTACAGGGATCCACACCTTCCCCTTTTGAGCCGAGACTCCCCGGTGCTGAGCAAGTCCTCTGATCCTCATCATTCAGTGGGCGGCTTCCCATCATGTCAGCCTCCACAACGGCGATTGCAAATCAGCGTTTTTGCAGGGCGAGCCAGACACGGAGAGGCCAGTGTGCATCTACATGAAGCCACCAGCTGATCCTGTGAGCAGACAAGCTGTTCCTGAATGGCGAGACCCTGACTTGGTGTATCAGTTGACTGCTCCGGTGTATGGTCAGGCAAATGCACCAAGACGTTGGTATTTGCATGTTTTGCGAATTTTGACAGAGCTTCAGTGGGAACGTCACAGCCTTGATCCTTGTTGTTTTTTGCAGCGCCGTGACGGTGCAGTGGTCAGCATCTTGGGCGTGCATGTGGACGACATTATTTGCGCATGTCTTCCTGGTTGGGACGAACTGCTGGAGCGGGTTCGCAAGAGCTTCAAGTGGGGCAGTGAGTGTGAAAAGGATGATTTCATCTTTGTGGGCCGGCGCATTGCAAGACAAGCCGACAACGGCTAC